GCCCTTTTCATTTTATACTTTTGTTTCTTCAATTTCTCCTGGCTCTTATTTTGCATTTGAGGTAAACAGTAAGTGTCCAATAACTGTTTGTTAACTATTTTTTTCTTTCTGCTTGTAGCTTATTTACTTTTAACTCCACGATTGTGAATCATAAATAGCATCTTCCTGTAATTTGTACTTTTAGCTTCTCAGGGCTATAATCCTCATGACTTCCTAACAGTTTTGAACTGTTCTACTCTTTCCCTTACTATACATGCCTTTTGTTTTCTCTATTGCATGTATTTATTTAGATTCCCATCTACAGAAAATACCCTCAAGCTCACATAGTTGTCTCCCCTCTTACAGCACTTACTTTTAAAAAATATGGTTTTTTATTTTTAGTTATAGGTGGACACAATACCTTTATTTTGTTTATTTTTATGTGGTACTGAGGATCAAACCAAGTGCCTCACACGTTAGGTGAGTGCTCTACCACTGAGCCACAACCCTAGCCCTAGCACTTACTTTTGTCTAAAAGAAACTGCAGAGAATTTTGGTTGTTGAAATATGTCATTGTTTTATTGACATATTTAAAACCTATTGATTTTCTGTAAATAAATGGCATGTTTGTCCAAATGCACATTTTTCAAAGAATGAATGTGTCATTCTTTTCTAATGTTTTCAGAAAATTTGGGAATAATTGGTGGTTAAAAATAAATGCCCAGAATGCTTGGCATCTGAGAAACATCAACACATGGAATGCCTTCTCTGTGTCCACAGTATGACAGAAAGAAAACTCATGGGTTTCTATGAAGACTTATTGGTAGAATAGTCATCTGAATTTAACCTAGTTCATTCATTAGATTCTTTAGGTATGAGAGCATAAACCCAAATGCAGATCTGTATTTTTGGCTGCCATAAAATAGTACAAATATTTATATACTTTGGAGAAACATACTCAATAACAAAACAAGTGTGATTATACCTCTCTCTACTCAGAAGAACCATGGCAGGAAAGATTTGGCAACAGTTGAAAAATAGATAGCATGATGCCGTGGCAGGAAGCCCATGTTAAGCTGGTAGATTTGGCTTTACTTTGGATGAGTCTTCCGTGGCTCAAAGTCAACTGGTGCATTTGTTAAAAGTATGGATTCTAGGGGCTGGGGTTGTGGCTCATTGGTAGCGTGCTTGCCTATATGCATGAGACACTGGGTTCGAACCTCAGCACCACATAAAAATAAAGACAATACAGTCCATCAACAACTAAAAAAGTATAGATTCTAGGGCACTGTCTCTGGTGTAGAGTAGGATTCTGGGATCTGCATTTTTAAAACTTTAAAGAAAAATTTTGTTGTTGATGGACCTTTATTTTATATATTTATATGCAGTGCTGAGAATCGAACCCAGTGCCTCACAAATGCAAAGCAAGTGCTCTACTCTGAACCACAGCCACAGCCCCTTTAAAACATTTTTATTGGTGAATTATAATTATATATAATAATGGGGTTCATTATGCCATATTTGTACATGTACATAAAGTAATTTGATTAATTACGTTCCCAGGTACCTGCCCTTTTCTTCCCTTCCTCTCCACTCTGAGCACTTGCTGTATCTACTGATCTCCCTTATATTATTATTATTACTTTACTATTTTAATTAGTGCATTATAATTATATAGGTATATATATATATAAATATAAAAAGTGGGATTCATTGTGGTATATATACCACATGGATATAGCATAATATGGTAGATTTCATTTGCCAGTACTTGTTCTCTCCCTTCTTCCCTCCCTCCCTCTTGATCCCCTTCATCTGTTCTCTTCATTATCTTTGCATTTTCATGAGCACCACTCTGTTTAAAAAATTATTTCTCTCCCTCTTTCTAGCTTCTGCCTAAGAGAGAAAACATTGGACCCTTGACTTTGAGCCTGATTTATTTCTCTTAGCATGAAATTCAATGGGTTCATCCATTTATCAACAAATGACATAATGTCATTTTTTTTGTGTGTGTGTGTGGGGGGTGGGTATCAGGGATTTAACTCAGAGGCACTCAATCACTGAGTCACATCCCCAGCCCTATTTAGTATTTTATTTAGAGACAGGGCTTCACAGAGTTTGCTTAGCACCTTGCTATTGCTAAGGTTGGCTTTGAACTTGTGATCCTCCTGCCTCAGCCTTGGAGCCGCTTGGGATTACAGGTGTGTGCCACTGTGCCCAGTTTCTTTCTTCTTTATGACTGAGGAAAACTCTACTGTGAACATATTCCACGTTTTCTTTATCCATTTGTCTGTTTACAGGTACCTAGACTGATTATGTAACTTGGCTGTTGTGAACATTGTTGTGCTGCTTTGAACATTGATATGCATGTATCAGTAGAGTATGCTGATATTAGATCTTTTGGATAAATACCGAGGAAAGGAGTAGCTGGTTCATGTGGTGGTTCTGTTCCTGGCCTTTTTCTTTTTGATACCAAGGATTGAACCCAGGGGTGCTTAACCACTGAGCCACATCCCCAGCCCTTTTTTATT